TAATAAAACCAAAAAGTTGCATAGATTCCGGTGTGGCTGTGCGAGTCTTTCGAGGTCTCGCCGCCCTTAAAATCAGGGGCTGCGCCGCTTCCTTTCTTCCTTTCTTTCTTTCGTCACTTTATGTTCTTCTTAATTCATTCTAAGTCCCTTCTTAACTACAACTACTGCCCTTGTTATAAAACTCCCTTCATTTTAAATTATAATATATTTTTAAATAAAATTTTACATATCAATAAATTTTATTAAATATATTTAATAATTTTATTTTTTAAAATAAAAATATAAACTTTTAAAAATATCTATCATTTAATATATTAAAAAAAAGGACGTAAATTAATTATAAAGAGAGAAATGATAATATTAAAATTGATATATTTAATGAAATCTTAATTCATTTAAAGTGTCTTATATTTTAGAATAAAAAAATTTCTTTAAAAGTTCTCTATAATTTAAAATGGAGAGAATATTATTCAACATGTATCATATATACATGTACATCATATATCAATTACAGGTTGATATAAAACATGTACATCCTCTTATTACAATAAATATTTGGTTTATAATTCACAAATTCATACTTCATTCATTAAAAAATATAAGACATTTTTTGAGGAGTTGAATGTTTAAAAATGTAAGGTATTTTTAGTCTTTTAAGATGTAGTCATTTCTTTTTTTAAGTGCTCATATTGATAATGACTTTATATTTATTGTAGGGTATTTAATAAAGATAAATATAAAAAAATAGGATTAATTGAAAAGTAGGTAACTATTTTATTAAAAGGTAAAATTTAATTAAAAATACCTTATATTTTTAAATAAATAGAATCTTTAATATGAGGATCTTCTTGATAAATTGTAAGAAATGACAAACTCACCTTACTTGCTTTGGGAAAAAAAATATAAGTAGGGCACGTACATTTTGTAACTTCGCGCCACTATTTTTTTTATTTCACCCTCTTTGACTAAATATAAAATATTTGGGTTTAAAAAATTATTAAATATGTAATATTTTAATTATTAAAATAAGATATAAAGTTATAAAAGGTGTATTTGCATAAAAAATCATGTCAACGTGTTTAATATAATTTTTTTAAAAAAAATTAAGCTACTTGTATTATTACAATTTTAGTTTGAGTATTATTGTTAAAGTATTAATTTTTAAATTAAATTATCTTACATCCTAGTTCAAGATTTTGGCTCTATTATTGTCTATAAATGGTAAAAAAATTTTTAAATATGAGTTTAAAAATATATTCTGATCATTGTTGTCAAACTCTTGAGTTAACTCTGAGTTTATTGTTTTTTATGTTTTTAACTTATAAAATTATATTAACTAACTTATAAACTCGAATTAAATAAAATTCGATTAAACTTGTGAGTTAACTTTTTAAATTTATCATTTTTATATTTTTAACTTATTATATCGTGCAAATTCACTCATAAACTCATTGAGCAAAATAGATATATATTATATAGAACTTGATTCATACAAAGGGCAAGACCCAGTTAAATGAAAAATAAAAAAAATAATATTAATAAAAAAATACTAAAAATAAGTTGCCTTATTTTAAATTTTCTGTATTGAGTATAATAATCTATAAATATAGATAGATTTAATTTCAACAGAATATATTTAAACCAAATTATGATTATATTTTATATTTTACTTATTTAATCATATACATTTAAAAGGTATTTATTAATAAAATTAAACTTATATAAATTTACATTTTAAATTTACATCTTTATTATAAATTTATTTAAATTTTGGAGTTTAACAACTTTCGTTCTGATCATAGACTTCCGATGCCCGACCCATATACATTTTCTATAAAATATATATATATATATATATATATATATATATATATATATTTCATCATGATATCAAAAAAAACACACACACACATCAATTAACAAGGTGGAATATAAAATTATGGATTCCCATCCTCACGTGATGTGCCCTCAAAATCAGCGATCCTGTTCTTCCTTTTACAAAAAGTTATTTCCACCACTACACTATTATCCCCACCAGTCTTGCATATATACTACTATGATTATCTTACATTACATTGATATTCATGTTAGTTTTTAGTTGTTAATGGCAAGAGATAATTTGTTCACAATAAGTAAATAATTCAATAGAATTTGTTGCAGCAACATCTGGATATAGCTAGTGGGAAGAAATTTAATTTCCTTTGATTAAGATTAAATATTTGAATTTTGTAAATAAAAAGAAATCCATTTTAGGAAAGTTATCCTTAGTCAGGTCAGATAATACTCATACAATTAATAGTATCAAATATTAGATGAATGTATTAAAAAAATTGATTGAATTTGTAGCAATATGTTTAATCACTTGTCTAGTTGTTGGTAATACTAATATTAGATCAGCTTATTATTACATATATTCTAAAGGATATGGCATATCTTAATTAAAGTAGTTTCAAATACATATATAGTTTTGTGTGATGCCTTAACTCATTACTTGATACTATATAAGTTCATGTGGCTTATCTCTCTTTTTCATCCTTTTCGTTCTCAAACTTTAATTTGTTCATCTTTTGATGATTAAGGAATGCGGATTCATATATATTCAAATATATATGTCGTTTGAAAGTGTTTCTAGCTTGAGGCACATGATTGTCATCCCTTTTTGGATATCATCACAATATCTTTAGCAAAATCAATGACATTAATTAATTAATTAATTAATTCTATTAATTAAAAGCCGAAAGTAGCATCCATGATCCACCATTTATTAATTATTATTTAAGTATCTGCGTGTTTTGGAAATTAAAGGAGACACAAACTAATCAACTCACTACATCTCTGTTCACATTATCAACTAACCTAAAATAAAATTAATTAATTAATTAACATGCCACTATCATGTTTGAAATTAAATTATGAACCCATGTATTAATGCTCTGATCTCGGTTATATACATGTTAATTTGTTACTACAATTCAAATAGGTTTAAATTTTATCCCTTTTTACTATCTTAAGATTTTTGAAATAGCTGTTTTTTTTTATCATAATAAAATTTTGGTGGGTTAGTCAAAGGTAAATCTCAATTTAAAGAGAGTTTACTTATAAATTATTGCTCAAAAAATATAAAGCCCTCACTCACATCTATAACAGTTATGCATGCTAGTGTTTAAATGATATGTCATGTGAAAGGTTTAATAATTATCAACTTTAATTTGATTTTGAATGATATATGTGAAATTTTTACATGGATTTGATCATCACTCGTTCAAACAAATAAAATCTAATGTCATTATTTTTAATTACTTTTATTTTTGGCATGAAGTGTTTATTTAATTTCTTGTATTTTTTTCTCTCGATTATTATTAATGACAAAATAAATTTATATTTACAATTATTTTATATGACATATTTTTATTAGATAAATCACAGATAACGCGATATATTAGATCCATGTAAAAATTTCTCCAATACTAGCCACCATGTTGATGAGTTATACATCTAACACAAAATTTAATAAAATGAGTGAAAGTGAGTATTGAATTTGCATATGCGTGTCTATGTAAATGAGCTGGATCAGACATAAGAAGCTCCAACTTCGTAAGTAGAATGATTTTTAATGCGTGTATATATATATTATGCAAAAATTCCATTGGATCTATCAACACGCTGCTCCCACCTAATTTCTCATCTCGATGACTAACTTGCTGGGTTTAAAGTTTAAATTATAACGAATATCCCTGCTGTAAAAAGTTATTAAAAAAAAAACAAGAGAGGCTGAAAAAAATTATTATAGATGTACGAGAACACTAGCAGATTCTGGACATCTGTATATAGAGAGCTTATACGGAGAAAATAATTTATAATTAAGATTAATTTAGTGTTTATAATACTAAGCCCCATATGGTTAGTCCGCGTGGTGTTTTGCTGTACCGTCCAAGCTTCTGAAATCGGCAATCTTTGCCATCATAATCTTGTTCGCATTCTCTTTTAAAATCAAACTACAAACCCTAATGTGTGTGTGTGCGTGTGTGTGTAGTCACGGACACCTACACGCACTTGTAGATTGCAGAACAGCCCCAACACTTCATGTTCTTGATCTGATTAAGTCCATTTGCAAGGGAGATGAAAGCTCTTTCATGTGTTTGGACAGAATCAAATTGGTGGGGTTTGATTAATTCTTTACACACACACACACACACACACACATTGAAATGATTCTGAATGTTATAGAGTAGGTTTGAAGCAGCCGAAAGTCCGAAAGATATGCTGGCATTTCCCCACATTAACACAAACCCATGCCAGTTTGACAAATTTATGAAAGATTTTCATATATATATATATATATATATGGGATTTTATTACAATTGAGTCAACTTCAGATTCTCCGCATCTATACATATATCACATTAAGAAGCATCACACTGCTAATTTTTAATAATGAATAATGAGGAGGGGTAGTCTGTAATTATATCTGATACTGATATATACATACACGTACTCAGTATGTATTTATATATGATACATAATTTACAGCATTCAATGTAGATGTAATTATACGATTAGAGTGAAAATGAGGGACTTACTTGACACAGAGAATCCAAAGATTAGTGTTTGTGTACGGGTTGAGCAATACATTTTTGAAAGTTGTAGCAGGTAAGGCTCTAAAATATATTTATTCAAAGTGACGCCAATGAGAGAAATTATAAAGTAAAACGACCAAGTGCACCAATATTAAACAATGCTGTGCTTTTATGACTTGATGACTTTTGGTCACACACAACGTTGCAAGAAGAAGCAGATGTGAATAATATATGTAAACCTGGATTCCCATATTGACGTCTTGGAACAAGAGACACAGCAAAGAAAGAAAGAAAGAAATAGCAACAAAAATAAACAAAAGCAACTGAAGCAGAAATATATGCAGCTTGCTACAGAGTACAGAGAGATTAATTTTGTAGATGATTCTTTTCAAATCTGAGAGAGAGAGACACCATCTAACAAATCCTGTATTATTCTAGTCCTTTCGTACAGATAGAGAGAAGCATCTTTGGTGGGGTGGTGCTGCTTATGCAGATTTTCTGATCTCTAGGTGTTCGTCTTTTTGTTTAGTTTATTCTCCTACAGTAATGGTGTTCCTTTTTTTTTTTTTTTTTAACTAGGAGCTTTGTTATGTTGAGTTTGAGTTCAAAGGAAGAAAGCTAACACACTGTCACAGAAGTAGAGGGAGGAAGTGCAAAACCCAATGACTCAAACCCAAGGAGAAAGGTTTGGAATTTGAGGCAAATGTTTCAATGCCCAGCTCGAGGCAATCCTTCTGCATCTCTTCCTCCTCCTCTTCTTCTTACTTGTTTTGTATCCTTCTCTTCCACTCCATTTTTCTCTATGGACTAGCATTCTCTGCAAATCATGAGGCGTCTGTTCTCTTCTCTTGGCTTCATAGCTCTGCCTCACCGCCACCTCCATCTTTCTCCAACTGGAACATTCTTGACGCCAACCCATGCAATTGGACCTTCATAACATGTTCCTCACAAGGTTTTGTCACTGAAATCAATATACAATCCATCCCTCTAGAGCTTCCATTGCCTTCCAATCTCTCCTCCTTTTCCCATCTTCAAAAACTAGTTGTTTGTGATGCCAATCTTACTGGAACCATCCCTATTAACATCGGTGACTGCCCTGCCCTCTCTATCATTGACCTTAGCTCTAATAATCTTGTGGGGTCTATCCCTGCAAGTATAGGTTATCTTCAAAAGTTGGAGAGCTTGTCTCTGAACACCAACCAGCTTACAGGGAAAATCCCAGTAGAGCTAGGCAACTGCATTAACCTAAAAAGTATCCTCCTTTTTGATAACCAGCTGAGTGATGTTATCCCACGTGAGCTAGGAAAATTGTCAAAACTTGAGATCATTAGAGCTGGAGGAAACAAAGATTTAGTAGGGAAAATCCCTGAAGAGATTGGAGAATGCAGCAATTTGACTGAGCTGGGGCTGGCTGATACTGGTATTTCAGGCTCATTGCCAGCTTCATTGGGAAAACTGAGCAAGCTTCAGACTTTGTCCATCTACACTACAATGCTATCTGGTGAGATTCCAGCAGAGTTATGTAACTGCTCTGAACTTGTTGATCTATTCCTATATGAAAATAGTCTATCAGGGTCTATTCCATCTGAGCTGGGTAAGCTTCAAAAGCTGGAGCAGTTGTTTTTATGGCAGAATAATCTTGTGGGAGCTATCCCAGAAGAGATTGGAAACTGTAGAAGCTTGAAAAGAATTGATCTGTCTTTGAATTCTCTATCTGGAACTATACCTTTCTCTTTTGGGGGTCTGTTAGAACTTGAGGAGCTAATGATAAGTAATAATAATGTGTCTGGGTCAATACCTCCAAGTCTTGCAAATGCCTCATATCTGCAACAGCTGCAGGTTGACACAAATCAGCTCTCAGGTCCGATCCCCCCAGAGCTTGGAAAGCTATCAAAGCTCACAGTTTTCTTTGCTTGGCAAAACCAACTTGAAGGAAGTATTCCTTCTACTTTGGCAAACTGTAGTAATCTTCAAGCACTAGATTTGTCTCACAATGAGCTTACTGGTAGCATTCCTACTGGCCTCTTTCAACTTCAAAACCTTTCAAAGTTGCTCTTGATTTCTAATGATATTTCAGGTTCAATCCCATCAGAAATTGGCAGTTGTAGTTCTCTTGTAAGACTGAGGCTTGGGAATAATAGGATTACTGGTGGGATCCCAAAGTCAATAGGGAGCCTAAAAAACCTGAACTTTTTGGACCTCAATGGCAATCACCTTTCTGGGCAAGTCCCAGATGAGATTGGCAACTGCACAGAGCTGCAAATGATTGACTTCAGCAGCAACAACTTAGAAGGTCCACTTCCTAATTCCTTGTCATCACTATCTTTGCTCCAAGTATTTGATGGATCTTCTAACAGGTTTTCAGGTCACATACCAGAAAGTTTAGGCCATCTTGTTTCACTAAATAAACTAATCCTTGGTAGAAACCTGTTTTCTGGACCAATTCCGGCATCATTGGGCCAATGTTCAAGTCTCCAAATGCTTGATCTTAGTGGCAATGAGCTCACAGGAAGAATTCCGGCAGAGCTGGGTCATATAGAGACTCTTGAAATTGCGCTTAACCTAAGCTGCAATTCTTTAAGTGGCCCAATTCCAGATCAGATTTCTGCTCTTACCAAGCTTTCTATACTAGACCTTTCTCATAACCAGTTAGAGGGAGGTTTAAACTCACTTGCAGGGCCAGATAATCTTGTCTCTCTTAATATTTCCTACAACAATTTCACAGGTTATCTACCAGATAATAAGCTTTTTAGGCAACTATCGCCAAAGGACCTAACTGGGAATCAAGGGCTTTGCACATCTGGTCAAGACTCATGCTTTGTGAGTGCTTCTAGTATGTCATTGAATGGAAGTGAGGCGAGGAAGTCACGAAGGATTAAGCTAGCTATCAGTTTGTTAGCAGTCTTGACAGTACTACTGACAGTAATGGGGATAATTGCAGTGATAAAGGCGCGAAGAACCATCAGAGATGATGATTCAGAACTAGGGGACTCATGGCCATGGCAATTCATTCCATTCCAGAAGCTAAACTTTTCAGTGGAGCAGGTGTTGAGAAGTTTAGTTGAAGGAAATATAATTGGAAAAGGATGTTCTGGTGTTGTTTACCGCGCTGAAATGGATGATGGTGAAGTCATTGCTGTGAAGAAATTGTGGCCAACAACAATGGATGCAGGAGACGGATTCAAGGATGATAAAAGTGGAATTCGTGACTCGTTCTCAACTGAGGTGAAAACCCTTGGCTCAATCCGTCACAAGAACATTGTTAGATTCTTGGGCTGTTGTTGGAATAAAAACACTAGATTGCTGATATATGATTATATGGCAAATGGGAGTTTGAGTAGTCTACTTCATGAGAGGACGGGAAATTTTTTGGAATGGGAACTCAGGTACAGAATTCTGTTAGGGGCTGCGGAAGGCCTTGCATATTTGCACCATGATTGTGTGCCTCCTATAGTACATAGAGACATCAAAGCCAATAACATCCTCATTGGCATTGAGTTTGAGCCTTATATTGCTGACTTTGGCTTGGCTAAGCTAGTTGATGATGGCGGCTTTGGTCGGTCCTCCAATACAGTTGCCGGTTCTTATGGATACATTGCTCCGGGTTAGTACTTCTTCCACCCAAGTCTTTTCCTGCTTTGCTGCAGAATATCAAGTAAAGATGTTACTGTTAAATTTGACTTTGGATGTTGAAAATATATACTGTATGATCAAAGACAAGATCTTAGTTAAATAACTTTATCCTACTATTTCTTTCAGAAATGCCAGCTACTTTCTTGGATATTGAAACTACTAGCATAAAAGTCATGCATACTCTAACAAATAATGTTACTCTAAATTTCCTTGCTAGACCAAAACAAAAGATGTCATAGAATTTAAAATTATCCGAGTTTAGTATAGTTATTGAAAGCTTTTTACGGAAAGAATGCAATTGATATTTTATAATAGTTTCTTGGATGTGATATCACCTATTGTTTTTTGGGTGGTACTCAAGCCATTTAAGATAGAGTCATCCATCCCATAATATCTTGATGCTAGTTGGTACACAGTGAGTATCCTAGATGCCTCAAGATTCAACATATTAGAATTTAGATGGCAAATGTAGACAATAAATCATTGAATATATTAAATATGATTCATCCAGTTTCTTGATATCGGCTTTTCACAAAACTTCAGAGTATGGCTACATGATGAAGATCACAGAGAAAAGCGATGTTTATAGCTATGGTGTGGTGATTTGGAAGTCTTGACAGGCAAGCAACCGATAGATCCGACGATACCAGTGGGCCAACATGTTGTTGATTGGGTGAGACAGAAGAGAGGTGTTGAAGTTCTTGACTCAAGCTTACTGTCAAGACCAGAATCAGAGATAGAGGAAATGATGCAGGCCTTAGGCATAGCCTTGTTGTGTGTAAATTCATTACCTGATGAGAGGCCAACAATGAAAGATGTTGCAGCAATGCTCAAAGAGATCAAACAAGAAAGAGAAGAATATGCAAAAGTCGATGCTCTTCTAAAGGGATCTCCTGCAAATAGTGTCAGGCCAACATCTTCATCATTATCATTGACAGCAGGGCAAAATTTGAACCCAGAAGGCAACAATACGATCTTCTCTGTATCGTCACTGCTTCGTTCATCTTCTTCCAGTGCCAAAGTGGGTTTGAAGTGATGAACTGCATATAGTCATAGTTGGAAAACGGAAGCTTGTGTTCTAATCAGTTACTGTCTCATAATGTTTGTTATTATCTGCTGTTGTTCTTCAGTCATATATATGTAAAGTTTAAAAGTTTGTCATAGCAGAAATGAAAGCTACAAACAGATCCAACAATTATAGATGTGGCTTTTGGATTATCATTGATCTGCAGACTGCAATCAGAATAGCTTGTACTTTTGATCTCCAAGCTTGGATTCTGAACATGTCAGCATAAGAATAAAAATTAGCCCAAGTTTGGAGCTATCTTTTCATTTATGTCTGACACTAATATTTTTTTTCTCCGTTTTTTTATCTAACTTTTTTACTTTTAATTTCTGAAAGTGTTGATGAAGTGCTTTTATTTGAAAGAGTATAGTGGCTTATACAGATAAACCCAACTATGCTGTTCACAGTGCTTTTGTTCTGCTTGAGTTTGCACTTACAGGTTAAAATTCTAGCTGCTGCTTCTTCAAACCATAAATAGGTGGCCTAACTGATGTATAATGATCCTGTCAATTTATATTCACGATTATTTTTGAAGAAATTTAACTGTTCAATTAGTTTAGATATTTTACATTTGTTAAAAATAATTGATTTGTTAAAAAAAGAACAATAAAAACAGTTTAGATTGACCATGTCAACTGAATAAAAAAAAAATATCTAGACCATATTTTAGATTGATCATGTCATAATAAATATTTATAGTAAAAAAAAAAACATATTCATTGACCAGCTGAGTTTCTTTTATAATCCATGGAAAGCATCAAGGCACAATTGAACACCCAATATAATACCCATTGTATGGCAGTAAATTATCTTTAGAGATGATGATGATGATGGATATAGTAAGAAAAATTAACATGAAATAAAAATATTTAAGTTATAAATATACAAGTTTGAGTTGTAAATTTTAAAATTTTAACTATACACTTGCCTCATTTTACACTAATTTTTTCAATAGCCTTTTTTTTTTACTAATTTTTTAATAGATTTTTAATTGTCATTTTCAATTACACAACGGCACTAAGGCCCAATACAGTCAATATGTAATATACAAGGTCAAAACAATTAGGGTTAAATGATAAATTTTCATTCAAATTATAAGTCTAAGAGTGTTTTGGATCCTAAACTTGTTATTGATATAATATTTTTCTTTAACATTTTAAACGATACATTATTACTTTTAGCGTTAACAAATTTTAATTTTGACAATTAATTGATTGAAAAATTACATAAAATGACTTTAAAAATTACATAAAATGATTAAAAATTACAAAAAAGTTAATTTTGCGGTCATTTTCTTTAATTTTTGGGTCAATTAATGATTAGAGTTAATATTTTTTAATGATAAAAGCAATATTGTACGGTTTTAAAATGTTGAGGGAAAATATTAGACTGAAAATGATTTTAAAATCATATGTGCTTTTAGATTTCTAGTTTAAAATTAAATTTACCCTTTAACCCAAATAATTATGTTAAGATAGGCCAGAAAAGAGAGAATTATATAAAATAACGTGGCCCAAGACTAAAGGTTTGTGATTTTTTTTAAATCATTTAATTATTATTAGATGAGATTAAGGTATTATTAGAGCCTAGATAAAAGTAGTTCTTCTGGGTTATGAAAATTTCAAATATGGAAGAACGCCCAAAAAAAAAAAAACAAATCAAGTGGAAATTGCACTCAGAATCAATGAGCTGTTTGCTTTCATGGACATCTAAAAAATTTGGGTAGGATAAAATTAGGGTCTACAGTCCGGTTTAGTGTTGATAAATCTGTTTGTTTTCCTTTTCAACAAAATAATTTGTTTTGACTAATTTTTTTCATTGCTAGTATATTTTTTTATTGAAAACAATTATATTTAAATTATGATCTGGAAATTAATTAGAACCCCAATATATGATATTGTTATTAACAACAACGGCCTCACAAGTATCTTGAGATATTTTTAATATATTTATTTAATGCAACAGTATATTTTAAGACTCGAATTCAACCTCTCAAAATAAATTAATTCAGCTCACTTAATAATTGAACTAAGTACGTAAATTGTCATGAGTAATATAAATATGAATAAAAAGAAGAATTGAACAGGCTTTCATTGACGATGAGGAAAGAAAATTACAATGATAATTAACCCACTTAATGCAAGAACAATAAACCAAATAAATGATGAAGATTAACCTTTTCTTTCATCATTTGTTTTTATAACAAAAATAAATCATCAAAGAAGATTAATGTAAGATGAAAACCTTCAAATTATAAATTTATAAATTTGAACTGAAAAAAAAATACATATACCCATCTTTTTGAAGTGAAATTCAAAAGAAAAAAAATCTTTTTGAAGTGAAATTCGATATATTGCATTCACCTTTTGTGTTTTCATACAACACATTTTGATAGACAGAGATAAAAGGAAAGATATAAATATACCCAAAAAAGTATATATATTTATATTCATTTGTGCTATTTACTGTTTGAATACATAATTATAAATGGTTATACATATATGTATATTTAGAAAGGAAAAAAAAACCAAAAGACAAAGTTAAACTAAAAAGAGAAAATCACACTATATAAAAGGATTAGAATGTAACTTATGGTTCACTTTGCAAGTTATCTTGCAGGTAACATGGTAAACTGCTAGAAGCTCACATGTACCATTTATATGCACGCAACCAATAACGTGTCTGTGAGACGGTGACTATATATATATATATATATATATGATTTATTACATTTAAGGCTATTTAATTCACTAAAACTATATAATTTATTGACAGATTTAATTTTGGTCTGAATTTAATTAGCGATTGTTCATGAACTTATGATTTAGTCAAGAGCTTCTACAGAATTAATCAATTTTGTATAATATTACATTAAAATAAGCTTAACTTAAATCCCAATAAAAGTTACACTTAACAGAAAAATTAATTAAAAAATGATTTTAACTTGTGAAAGACTGAAAGTGAAATCTGAAAACCAATAGCGAAAGATTAAGATTAATGATTGTTGAATATATATATATATATATATATATATATATGAAGGTGATTGTTAAGGAGAACAATGCAATTTCTATAAACGTGTCTTTTGTTGTTTAACGTCAATCGTTACTCCAAATATTGAAAAAGTATCAAAATCTGTTATTTCAAGCGTGCTTAACATCTTTCTATAAACGTGTCTTGAGGATCAGAATTTGCATCTTTTCATTTGCGGGAAGTTATACATATTATCAATATCATTATCATTATCATTAATATAATATAAAAATATCAAAACGTTTAACAAACTACCCTCATCCTTTAAAAATATGAGACATTTTTTGAAGAGTTAAATATTTAAAAATATAAAATATTTTTAGTTTTTTAAAATATAATTACTACCTTTTTTTAAAAGTATCTTATTGATAATGATTTTATGTTTATTATAGGATATTTAATAAGAATAAATATAAAAATATAAAATTAATTAAAACATAGATAAATATTTTATTGAAGATGAGATTTAATTAAAAATATTTTATATTTTTAAAACAGGGAGTATAATATTTAAATTTTCCTGCGTGAATAGTGTGACATGCAAATATTTTTTAAAATTTTAAACAAATGCATGTCGTTGGTTGTAATTTCTCTCCCACATGATGATTCTGATTGGCGATATATTTTTCAACGGTTGCGTTCCTGTTTTGTGCATTGTTTTCAGACCCGTTTTAGGATAAAGTATATTTTTAATTTTTTAATTTTATATAATATTTTATTTTTATCTCTTAATTTTATAAATTATTTTTTCAATACTTTAATTAATTTTATCACCAAATATTTTTATATTAAAATTTTAAAGATTGATAAAATATTTTTAAATATTGATATATTAATTTTATTTTTTTAAAAAATAATGATGATTGATAGAAAAATAAGTATTTGAAACTAATGATATTCAAGTTAGAAGACTGAAAAGATATATTATAAAATTAAAAGATTAAACTAAAATTTTATATAAAATTAGAGGATCAAAGGAAGACTTTAGCCCCTATTTTATCCCAAAGTTGAGGGTCTTTAATATCAAATAATAAATTCATATGGAGTAATTAGTAAAAGTTAAAGTATTTTTAATTATTTAACTTTACATAGGGTTTCATTTTAGTCTCTTAATTTTATAAAGTGTATTTTTAATCCTTCAATTCTATCATTGTTAGTTTCATCACACACAAAAAAATTCACATTAAATTTTTAAATACTGACAAAATATTATCAAATGTTAAATTATTAATTTTAATTTTTTTAAATAAAAATAATTGAGATAAAAAATAATTATTTAAAACTAATAATATTAGGGTTAAAAAATTAAAAATATGCTTTATAAAATTAAAAAAATAAATTAAAATCTTATATAAAAAGTATAGAACTAAAAATATTATATTTTAACCAATTAGAAAATTTATTACTATAATATTAATTTCTCTTTCCTTTCATGTTAGTGGTACAAAGCCACTTGTAGTGTATACTCTCATCTTTACTGTGAGGTTAACATATATTTTGAATCATCTAATTTTTATATAAAATTTTAATTTAATTTTTTAATTTTATAATATCATTAATTTTAAATGATTTATTTTAAAAAAATTATCTTTATAAGTTAATATCTTGATAATGTGTTATTAATATTTAAAAGTTTAATGTAAAAAAATTTTGTGATAAAACTAATGATGTTAGAGGTTAATAATTGAAAATAAAGTTTATAAAATGAAGGGATCAAAATCAAGTTTTGTTTAAAGTTAAAGAAAAAAATTTATTTTAACCTTATTACAAGGTGTTTTTACATATGAAAGACAATAGGATGCAAATATAAAAAAATTAAAAATATAATTCATTTTTAAATAAAATTAATAAATTGACCATTTTTTATTCGGGGGAGGTGATGAAAGTTACCTGATCGTTGAAATCTGAAATTACTACGATACCATATTTGAATGCATATATGCAAGTTTTTATAATCCATGTCTAATAAGCTCAAAAAATGCTGTCACCAAAAAAAAAAAACTCAAAAAATGCAATCCAATTATTTTTTGGCCACTTTATTTTGATGTCATAAGAATCGTTTTTTTTTTTGTTGTTGGTAAGATTATAGAGTATTATATATTACTGTCATTTTTAGAATAAAAGAATAGTAGATGAGAATTACGTTATTGCATAATTGAATTGAATTGGAGTATGGTAATAATGCTTCAAAACCCCCCCCCCAAAAAAAACGAAAAACAGAATCTATAAGCTTGTTT